GGGTTGCTAACTGACGCGGGGCGGATCAGCGATGATTATTTCCTCATAATCCTGGCGGATTGTCACAATAGGATGGGGAGAGACCTCACAGAAACCTCACAGCAAGGTCAAAAACCATGGGCTGGCCCCGGGAAACCTTCATTGGCGTCTGAGCAGCGTTTGTAAGAGCACAAGGTGGGCGCTGGGTGTGAGTCTGTGCCTCAGGGTGGGGGAAGTGTGTCTGTGTATGTATGTGTGTGTCAGGGGCTGTGCCACAGTGTGTGTTAGAGAATCTGTGTGTGTGTGTGTGTGTGAGGCTGTGTGTCAGGAGCTGTGTGTGTGTGTGTGTGTGAAGGTGTGAGAGGGGATCAGTGAGTCTGTGCTGTATCTAATTCCACCCCCACCCTCACCCTCTCTGGGACCATGGGGGATCTACAGCCTGCCATCGTTATCGATAATGGCTCGGGCCTGATCAAGGCAGGTATCTCTGGGGACAAGGAGCCCCGCTCCATCTTCACCAACGTGGTTGGCAAACCCAGGCAGAAAGCTCTGATCATTGGGGCTGGCCAGAAAGACTTTTACATTGGGGAGGAAGCTCAGGCCAAGAGAGGGGTGCTGAGCATCAAGTACCCAGTGGAGCATGGCATCGTCACCTCCTGGGAGGACATGGACAAAGTCTGGAGGTATGTCTATGACAACGACCTGAAGATCAAGGCGAACGAGAGGCCGGCACTGCTGACTGAGGCACCCCTCAACCCACTGGCAAACCGCGAGAAGATGTGCCAGATGCTGTTTGAGGCGTTTGAGCTGCCTGCCATGTACGTTGCCATCCAGGCAGTACTCGCTCTGTACGCCTCAGGCAGGACCACAGGCTGTGTGATGGACAGTGGCGATGGAGTGAGCCACACGGTGCCCATCTATGAGGGTTACTGCCTGCCCCACGCTGTCCTGAGGTTGGAGCTGGGTGGCAGGGACCTGACCGAATACCTGGTGAGGATCTTGACTGAGAGTGGGGTGTCGTTTGTCAGCACAGCTGAGAAGGAGATTGTCAGGGACATCAAAGAGAAACTCTGCTATGTGGCAGTGGATGTACAGGCCGAGATGTGTAAGAAGCCGGCCGATGTGGAGAAAGACTACAAATTGCCCGATGGCCAGGTCATCAAGATCCAGAACCAGAGGTTCCGCTGCCCCGAGACCCTGTTTGTGCCAGCCAACATTGGCATTGAGGCACCTGGCATCGACAAACTCTGTTTCAACACCATCATGAAATGTGACATTGACCTCCGCAGGGACCTATATGCCAATGTTATCCTAGCCGGAGGCTCCAGCCTCTTCCCAGGCATGGACGAAAGGATGCTCAAGGAGATGACCAAGATGGTACCCACGGGCACTCCGGTCAAAGTCTGTGCCCCTGCCGACAGGAAGTACTCAGTCTGGATGGGGGGCTCGATACTGTCGTCGTTGTCCGCCTTCCAGCAGATGTGGGTGCTGGCCTCCGAGTACAAGGAAGTAGGGGCCAACATTGTGCACAGAAAGTGTTTCTGAACCAGTGCCCAGCACCGCCTCCAACCCGAGCCTCCCCCCATCCAAACAAATCTAATCAAAACTGCTGTATTTTAAAAAGAAAAAAAAAATACTGAAAGAATAAAAGTGCAGAATGAACTTTGACAAACTGGCTGCTTTTTATTTTTCATTTCTGTTTTGTTGCAAATCACCCTGTTCTTTCTGGTTTGACCTTCACCCTCTGAACACAATATCCCCCCAGGATCCACTTTGACCCTGACCCTCTGAACACAATATCCCCCCAGGATCCACTTTGACCCACACCCTCTGAACACAGTGTCCCCCAGGATCC